TCCTATGAGCATATTTTAGAAGACTCTGCTATAAAATGTGTAAGACTATTTAAATATCGCTTTTATCATGATTTATTTTACATTAATCATTTAGTCTTGATAAATAACTATTTTAGCTGGAAACACTGATTCACAGTGAGTTGAACACAAATTATTACAAAACTAGTGCAAATCTCTAAGAGATAATTTGCTCCAGATCATAAATTTCTCCTCAGATGTGTGATTAAGTCAATTCTTACTATGGCTAACATTTACTGACTGCTTATGATATGTTAAGCAATGATCTAATCCTATCACGTAAGTCGGTTCTCCTTTAAACCCTGTGAAATAAGCTTTAGTGCTAATGTTGTTTTCTTCAGGTGACAAATAGGTTGAGTAGCACGTGAAAGGCACACCATTGGGAGGTGTGAGGTGGTGTAAAGCTTAGCTTTATCATAAACCGTTCTCTGTGGTAGAATGTAAAGGCGATGTTGCCAGAACGCTTGTGAGCCCACTTCCTGCTTGCAGGTCCCAGACTCGTGACCAACTTCAAGAATAAAAGATTTTTTTTATATCAAGTTCAAGCTACTTTGAAGACATCTATGGCAGAGAGGCTCTTAATCGTTGACACATGACAAGGTAAGTTATGGATATTTATTGCTAAAGGATTTCAAAGTCTTATCTCAAGTTATTTCTGATCAATAAATAATCTTTTCAATGTTACCCTTTCCCTGAGCTCTGAAATTTCACTAGTTTTTCTTGTATTTCAGGAAAACACAAATATTGCCTGAGCTCATATCTTATTTAAAATATCTCGTTAAGAGTAGACATTAAAAACTAACACCACCCACAGTGATAGTCAGTCTGCCACTTATGGCCAAGATTGGGTTCACTGAGTGGATGGCTATCTTCCAAGTTACGACAGGTCCAGTTTCATCATTTGCTGTGGTGTAAGGTAGAGCTCCAGGTTTCCTTGAGCTTGAGATATCTGTTTTGTCATTGCCCACCACTGCTACTGCTATGCAAACATACTTTCCATTTGTAAGTAGTACTCTAATTTTGGTGGTATTTATGTATCGTGAAGTAATTCTAGTCCCTATAATTACAAACTCTAAAATATGTATGACTTTTCACATGATATTGGTTTCTTTTTTGCTCATATAAAGTACAAAATGGGACTACCGGCAGATCTCTAAGTAGCAATTCACTTCTTCTTGCTCATCCCACCTGTGGCTCTGCCACTTTAACACTGTGCCTCAATCACACCAGGCTAGCAAAAGGAGCATTTGCACATGGGAGAAATTCATGGATCAACTATAGTTGGTATGTATCTCTGGTATTTGTGTTCCACAGGCAAGAACACAGGCACAGGCCACATCTTACTTGGAGATGCTGGGAAAATACAGTGTAACTGTGCTCCCAGGGGAAGGAGGAAATTATGAACAGCTGGCCGGCTCTCTCAAAGTCAGAAAAAAAAAATCTAACCTTACCATTCCACTGAGTCATACTAGAATCTTACTGATTTTTATTCTCCTGAAACAAAAATTTTAAATGTTATCTACCATGTTATTGATCTGTGTTTCATTCCTAAACAAATTCTAAGTTATCATGTAGTTAATAAGCCCATGTCAGAAGTCAGATCTCTAATATTTCTGATCATTCTTTTTTCTCAGATATCAGAAGGGTCTGATTCTACTTGCTTCTGGAATGTAGGTGTTTTTCATTAATGTCTCTATTTATAACCAGTTTCTTTTAAAGTTACATTTTAAATTTAACTGTTTAGAGAATAAAGCGTTTAATGACTTTTTAAAGCTGGTTATAGCAATAAGTACAAAGAGGAGGTAGAATATAGTAGTTAGCAGTGTAAAATTTGGAGCAAGAATTCCTGTGTTCATAAACCCACTTTACACTTCATTTGGAATTTCTTAAAGAAAGCATAGCCAGTGCCAAAGAGCTCCCCGACTGTGCCAGGACAAAGGTCGCACAATGCACTCTCAGGAGAAGTTCCTAAGTGACCACAATGCATCTGCTATTTTTTCCTTTAATGAGTGGGAACTTGTATAGCAGTTATTCTGTTCCTCTTCCAGCACATCTGAGGGGAGATACCTATGAGTGTCGTGTGTACATGTGTGCACAAGCACATGACAGGGAGATTCTGGATTTTGAACTAGATGCAATCACTAGATAGTAATTTGAGTTGAAATTGTTGGTAAGTGGTAAATATACATGTAGAAAAGATAGTCATGTAGCTATCTGGTGTTCAGGGAAGTAGAACACAGCTAAAATGGTCTGTTGTCCAGAAAATGGTTTCCTCTGCCTCTGAAACACTCAGCCAAACTATATCTTTCAACTTTCCTTAGTTAGGTGTGCTCATGGACTCCAACTGTAGTCAATGGGATGTGAGCAGAGGCAATACACAATACAGTTGGTTTTATCCTTAAAAATCTTGCATCTGAGACTGGAGGTGTGGAGTGCTCAAGCACCTGACTTGTAAATGCTAAGCCTTGAGTTCAAACTCCAGTCTTGCAAAAAAAAAAAAAAAAGAAAGAAAGAAAGAAAGAGAAGGAAGAGGGGACAAGGAGGGGGGAAGGGAGAGGAGGAGAAGCAGAGGGAGAAGGAAAGGAGAGGGAAAAGAAAGAAAGAAAAGAAAAATCTTGCATCTGCAATCCTCCCATCTCTTTTCCTTCTGCTGGTACACAACTTTAGAACTCACATCACATTGCTAAAGGTATCAGACCTGTAAGATGGAAGGAGCAGGGGCCTCTTAAACACCATTTAGAAAAGAGGTCCTGACAATCACAAACACTAGTCTTAGATTTTATGTTATTGAGAAAGACATATGCTGTTGGAACCATTTGTAAGTTACCTTAATGAATATACATTTATCTTGAAAATAAAATGGAAAAAGGCCCCTTAAATGTCCCATAGTAAGGTATATACAGTAGTTTATAAAAATATACATATAAAGCATGCATGACTATTGACATGACTTCCACCACTTTAAATCATTTTTATGGCATTTTAAAACTGAGTGCCATTTTAGTTTAATAATAGCTGTGATAAATATGTTACTCTGAGAAAATTAATAAAACAGGGATTCTTTATAATATTCCATTACTTCTCAGAGTTAACTATAACACATTCTACTTCTAAGGTCAAACCAAGGTCAAACCAAATACAAATTATGTAAACGCCATGTTTCTTTTCTTTTTTTTCCTCCCGGTACTGGGATTGAACACGGGATCTGCTAAGCAGACACTCTATCACTTGAGCCACACTCCCAGCTCTTTTCTTTATATTTTGTTTTTGAGACAGGGTCTTGCTCACCTTGCTCTGGCTACCCTCAAACTTGATCCTCCTTTCTCTGCCTCCTGAGTAGCTGGGATTATAGGCATGTACAACCATATCTGGCTCATGTTAATTTTGTGTATAGAAGTTTGGACTGTAAGTTACCTTTTGAATTCCATCCATAATCTTGGTTATAAGTAAAACTAAAACAGCTTATTAAAAGAAATGACTTTTAACCATACCACCCAAAATCTACTTAGATTTATCTGTATGGGAGAAGGAAGTTCACATGGCCACTCTCTTTTATTTATGCTAGATGAAATAATCCTGTAAAGTTCATTCTAGCATAATATCTTATCTTGGGCACATTAAAGAATTAACAAAGGCTTCAGTAATATGTCTGTTAAAACATGGCTCTACAAACAAATGCTAAGCAATTTAACAACTAATTCTCAGAAGAACCCTCACAGATGCCGTGGTGCTGACGTACAGAGAGAGGCTCAATCACATGACTGGTACTCACACACTCAGTGTTGGAGCAGAGAGCTGAACACAGCCCAGATTTGAGTCACATTTTGTCTGTTGAGATTGACCTAAACTATGAGTTTAGCAGACAAAAGGCATCATTACCTTAATTTTCACAAAGAAAGAACTCAGAGTGAGGTTTAGACATTTTCACAAAGATGAGGTATCATCAGTCACTTTGGCAATGAGATGTTTATTGCCCACTATCAAAAATATTGCTTATGGCTTCAATATAAGAAATTAATTTTAATATAGAATCAATTAAATAGTAACTAATAGCTGTCTTCTCTACATCACAAGACATGCTTCAGTAAGACATGTCAGAGACTCTAATAATTAAAATATCCTCATATAAATTATCACAATATATTAAAGAAAAATGAAAATAAACCAGAAAGGATCCAGCTTTAGAGGCAAAAGGATATGTTTTCAACTATGTAATGAAGGATAAGCTAAAATTACAGCCAACACTCTGGAAGCACTAAAATAGGTGGCTCAATGTTGGGATTTTAAAGTCTCAAAAGAGATATTTTGATCTTCCTCTTGAATAGTCTAAAGTTAGAGTCCAATTTGGAAATACATTAACTAAAATGATGATATGATACTGAGTAGTAGAAAGAGAAATACGGGCATTTTCACTAAAACCACATGACATTTATTCAAGAGGAGTGTACAGTAGATCTCTGTGTCCATCCAATCACAATGTGACACATAAAAAAGGGTAGGTGTCGGTACTGTGACATAAATAGGTAACTGTCTAGAGTCTAAAGCTCCATTAGTTATTATTTAAAATAGTAAAAAAGCTGGAGGCCCACTGGGATCAAGGAGTTATATGCATACTTTTTGTTCAGTTGGCATCTGAATATTCACACAAGCAACTGGTTTTTCTCAAATTTGGATGACAAATTTCATCTCGAGTATTTTTTTGGAGAAAAACCTAAAAAGTGAAGAAGCCTCCTCCACATGTGGACCCTTATCTATTGACTGTTGTATCATAAGAATTGGACAACCTTGCTTCTCTTTCTTAATAGGACTACACCCTAAAACATATACCCATCATACATGTTGAGAGCCCAACATGTATGAGAAACACTGAATAAGCTTACTTAGATATTTCAAAAGAGAAAATACAGTTCTATGTTCCAACATGTTCTAGCATTTTAGGAAACAGCCAAAATAATTATTGTTTTATGAGACTGAGAACTTACAATCTGATAGAGACTGCATAGAGTATTGCACATCTGATGAAGGTCTTGAACCATGAAGTGAGAATTTGAGTTTTTCCTTCTCTTTTTCCTTTTCTCCATCTTTACTCCTCTTCTTCCCAAGGTCTTTTGCATCCACTTTCTCTAACATATTTAAAAAAAAAAGAAACGTGATAAATCTTTCAACTAGTAAACCTCAAACCGTGTTTCCTATTTAGTCATTGTGTTGGAAAAAAGGCCAAAATGATAGTATTATTTAAATGTAAAACCCACAATGTCACCATAACATAATCTCCTCCAGTTAGAAACACTGCAATAAAGCCAGAGAAGAATTTTGAAAACTGACAAAAATATATGCAGCATTACTTATTATTATATATTGCTAAATTACTATACATAATTTTATGTTTCATGGGAATCATTATCTGAATGGTTTATTTATATAAAATTATAGTGTTGGCTAATTTTGCCACTTTAAAAATGAAGACAAAAATTAGCAAAGCATATGCTAAAAGCTAAATCTTAACTATGAACCACTCTCAAATCTTTCATATTTGTGGCCTTCTTTTTTTTTATTGTTTTATTATTCATATGTGCATACAAGGCTTGGGTCATTTCTCCCCCCTGCCCCCACCCCCTCCCTTACCACCCACTCTGCCCCTTCCCTCTCCTCCCCACCCCCTCAATACCCAGCAGAAACTATTTTGCCCTTATCTCTAATTTTGTTGAAGAGAGAGTATAAGCAATAATAGGAAGGAACAAGTGTTTTTGCTGGTTGAGATAAGGATAGCTATACAGGGAGTTGACTCACATTAATTTCCTGTGCGTGTGTGTTACCTTCTAGGTTAATTCTTTTTGATCTCACCTTTTCTCTAGTTCCTGGTCCCCTTTTCCTATTGGCCTCAGTTGCTTTTAAGGTATCTGCTTTAGTTTCTCTGTGTTAAGGACAACAAATGCTAGCTAATTTTTTAGGTGTCTTACCAATCCTCACCCCTCCCTTGTGTGCTCTCGCTTTTATCATGTGCTCAAAGTCCAATCCCATTGTTGTGTTTGCCCTTGATCTGATAATTGCATATGAGGGAGAACATACGATTTTTGGTCTTTTGAACCAGACTAACCTCACTCAGAATGATGTTCTTCAATTCCATCCATTTACCGGCAAATGATAACATTTTGTTCTTCATCATGGCTGCATAAAATTCCATTGTGTATAGATAGCACATTTTCTTAATCCATTCATCAGTGGTGGGGCATCTTGGCTGTTTCCATAACTTGGCTATTGTGAATAGTGCCACAATAAACATGGGTGTGCAGGTGCCTCTGGAGTAACCTGTGTCACAGTCTTTTGGGTATATCCCCAAGAATGGTATTGCTGGATCAAATGGCAGATCAATGTCTAGCTTTTTAAGTAGCCTCCAATTTTTTTTCCAGAGTGGTTGTACTAGTTTACATTCCCACCAACAGTGTAAGAGGGTTCCTTTTTCCCCACATCCTCGCCAACACCTGTTGTTGGTGGTGTTGCTGATGATGGCTATTCTAACAGGGGTGAAGTGGAATCTTAGTGTGGTTTTAATTTGCATTTCCTTTATTGTTAGAGATGGTGAGAATTTTTTCATGTGTTTTTTGGCCATTTGAATTCCTTCTTTTGAGAAAGTTCTGTTTAGTTCACTTGCCCATTTCTTTATTGGTTCATTAGTTTTGGGAGAATTTAGTTTTTTAAGTTCCCTATATATTCTGGTTATCAATCCTTTGTCTGATGTGTAGCTGGCAAATATTTTCTCCCACTCTGTGGGTGTTCTTTTCAGTTTAGAGACCATTTCTTTTAATGAACAGAAGATTTTTGGTTTTATGAGGTCCCATTTATCTATGCTATCTCTTAGTTGCTGTGCTTCTGGGGTTTCGTTGAGAAAATTCTTACCTATACCTACTAACTCCAGAGTATTTCCTACTCTTTCCTGTATCAACTTTAGAGTTTGTGGTCTGATATTAAGATCCTTGATCCATTTTGAGTTAATCTTGGTATAGGGTGATATACATGGATCTAGCTTCAGTTTTTTGCAGACAGCTAACCAGTTTTCCCAGCAGTTTTTGTTGAAGAGGCTGCTATTTCTCCATCGTATATTTTTAGCTCCTTTGTCAAAGACAAGTTGGTTATAGTTGTGTGGCTTCATAGCTGGTCCTCTATTCTGTTCCACTGGTCTTCATGTCTGTTTTTGTGCCAGTACTATGATGTTTTTATCGTTATTGCTTTGTAATATAGTTTGAAGTCAGGTATTGTGATACCTCCAGCATTGTTCTTTTGACTGAGTATTGCCTTGGCTATTCGTGGCCTCTTGTGTTTCCATATAATTTTCACAGTAGATTTTTCGATCTCTTTAATGAATGTCATTGGAATTTTGATGGGAATTGCATTAAACATGTAGATTACTTTGGGGAGTATCGACATTTTTACTATGTTGATTCTACCAATCCATGAGCATGGGAGATCTCTCCACTTTCTATAGTCTTCCTCAGTCTCTTTCTTCAAAAGTTTATAGTTTTCCTTATAGAGGTCATTCACGTCTTTTGTTAGGTTTACACCTAGGTATTTGATTTTTTTGAGGCTATTGTAAATGGAGTTCATATTTGTGGCCTTCAATTTAAAGGAAACAGTTTTCTGTATACCAAATAACTTTTTATGGAAGCAAAATCCAACCAACATCCACAAACCAACCTCTTTTTGCCAACATGCCTTAGGTAATAAAACCTGTATACCTAGAACTATCCCCACCATTTGAATTCTCATTCATATTTATGATTCTATGAAATATTTCTTCTTTTATTTAAAAATTTCCCCAAGATTTGTTTTATTCTCTAATAAATCCTTTCCAAGTCTGAATCAGAAATTTTAGATTCTCTGCAGCATCTGCTAAATTCATAATCATCATTGGTTATGTTGTCATTTTTTAAAAATTTGCACAAATAAAAAGTATGATTTAACAACTTACAATGTTCCTTTTCAAAAAAAGCAAATCTATGTCATGTGTTAACTTTAAAGTAGACTTAACACATTAGATATTAAAAAATGAATATAACTTCAAACACAGGATGAAACACTGGGAAACAAGTATAAAAATAGGTTATTGAAATTTTCTTTGAGGGATTTCGTCTAAATATTAACTTAATTCAATGAAACTAATTTTGGATAGAAATATGGGATTTCATTTATAACTTTAAAATTGGACTTTAACAGTGTTCAAACTCCTATTCAAAATTTATGATAAACAGTACCTCATAAAAATTTTAGATAGAAAAAAATTTAAGCTGTTTAATTTAAAAATTTAAATAGTATACAAGTTATTTACCAAAAATGTGTTTTTGTCAATAGCTTAAATAAGTGGTCCTCCTCTTTGTTTTCATTCCACGCATTTGACAAAACCCCTCTTTAAATAAACTGGCAGCTGAGTCCTACTGGAAATTATCCTTCCCTGGTTCTGTAAACAGCACCACATCTATTTTAAGACTCCACAAGTCTACGTCTTCCATCTCTATCTCATTCTGAACTCATGGCAAGGTGCCTACCCACAGAGAATATAGAGATCTTTCATCAGAAATCCTTAACTTCTCCCTAAGAAACTTGTTCTTTCACGTACATCTGTATTCATCCTTTCCATCACCCTCCATGACCTGTGTCCATCCACTAGAAAGGAAGAACGATTGCTTCCCCTGGGTTGGGCCAACTTCTCCAGCGGGGCTGTGGGTCCCAGTCTTCCCATTTTCTTACACTATTGCTGTCATCTCAGTTGGGTCTTCCCAATCACCTACTAAATTTTCCCTGATTAGGTTAACAAATACATATTTTGTCTGGGTTCCACATTGTTCCCTGAAAGCTTCTACCTAGATCTCCCATCTCTTTTTCCACACTCAAATCTTCTCTTCAAGATCAAACTTCTTACAAGGTTGTCTATACATTCTTTTCCTTCCCATCTTCTTAACCCTCTCAGCTGGTCTTCTACTCCCATAACTTCCCAATGACAAAATCTAATGGAGAAATTTAAGTTCTCATGATAGCTCATCTTTCAACAATATTTGACACAATGTCTCTGCTTTTTGAAGCACTTTTCTCCTTTGATTTAAATGCTAGCATGTTGTTTTTGCTTTCCCTGCTTCTTTGGCTACTCCTAAGTCTTCTTCTGTAGCTCATCATTTTGAACCAAGCTCTCAGATATTTTGGTGTTCCCAGGCTCAGTCTCAACCTCCCCACCATTCTCATTCCATGTTGTCATTTTGGGAAATGTCATCCATTCTTTCATATAGCATGTATGTATCAGTGCCCACAAATGCATATCAGCAGTCTGGTTCTCTTGATGTTAAAACAAAACAAAACAAAAACCACTTGACTACCGTAAGGGAACTTCCAGATTTCCAGATTCAGTATGTTCAAAACCATCTTTGTTATCGCTTCTGTAGGTACCAACATCTATCTAGCTTTGCAATGCAAGTGTACAAATTATCTGCTGCTTTTTATTTCTTAAATAAATATCAAATCAATCATCTTAGTTGCATCTCCACTAAGACCACCCTACTTCCCTATTCTAAGCTGCCATCTTCTCTGATGTGTGCTGATAACCAAACCTGTTTTTCTACTTCTACCTAGATCTCCCATCTCTTTTTCTACACTCAAAGCTTCTCTTGTCAGTGATGCTAGAGTGATCTTTTGAAAAAGCAAATCAGATTGTGAATCTATTCTAAACTCTTTACTCTGCCAGCAACTCTTATGGTAAAGATCAGTAATCCTAGCCTGACCTAAAAGCAGGTTCTTCTCAAGCTACTTCATTCCTTCACTTCCTCTGCTTAAGCTGAGCACATTTTGTGCCCACTCTTCCAACACATTGTCCTCCCCTCCTCTGCCTGATCATCTTTATTCCTGTTGTTTCCTCTGCCCACAGTGCTCTTTGAGCCAGACTCCCTGTCTACCTCTAGGTAATTCCCTCTCATCTTTGCAATCACAGCTCAAAATTCCCTGGGAAATTCTCCTCTGATGACCCAGACTAGAACAGGTCACTCATATGAACTGCCAAAGCTCTGCTTAGTGTGTTGTAAATTATTATCATCATCATAATCATCATTCTTATTAATGTGAGTCTCTCACTGGATTGTAAGCTCTGGAAAGTAAGTGCCACATCTGATTCCATTTACTAAGATAGTACCAATTCCTGGCACTCTCAACTGTTGGTACTGTAGTTAGCAAGCAATATATTTGCATGAATTAATAGATGACTGGATATGAACTTATGAGACATGAGAAAAGACTTCTAGAAGCAAATTAATTAGAAATATATTGGACAGACTTCTTTTTTTTTTTGGATTTTTTCATAAACTATGTTAGATCATTTCAGGAGGGACCTATATAGGCAGGTACTGTTCACACATTGATCTTGGTATATTTTTGAGGAAGATCTAAAGTAATAATTCTGTGTAATATATGGTAAGAACTAATGGGAGACATAATTTTTTCATTTTCTCCTTCCTTCCTTCTTTCCTTCCTTTCTCCTTTCCTCCCTCCTTCCCTCTTTCCCTCCCTCCTTCCCTCCCTCCCTCTCTTCTTTCCTTCCCTCCCTGCCTTCTTCCCTCCCTCCCTCTCTTGCTCTCTCTCTCTCTCTCTCATTCCTTTGCAGTGGTGGAGATCAAATGCAGGGCTTTCCTTATTCTAGGCAAATGCTCTACCACTCAGCTACCTCCTACTTCCCTAGCCCTTGGTTTTTTGTTTTGTCTTTTTGAAATAGTGTCTTATTCTGTAGTCTTGCTGTCCTCAAACTCTTGATCCTCCTGCTTCAGCCTTCTGAATACTGGGATTGCAAGCATGTGCCACCACACCCAGCTTCACCATTGTTTTTCTGAGACAGGGCCTTACTATATAGGTCAGGCTGGCCCAGAACTGGAGATCCTCCTGTCTCTGCTTCCAGAGTTAGACATGATCTCAATAAGGAATAATTCTGACAAAATATCAATACTGTATAAAACATAAATATTTGAAAGATCATTTTAGGTACTACCAAAATATACAGAAAAACCTGAATATTTTCTATTACATTTAATTATACTTCATGAGCCTTATTGTTCATATGCATTATAACTATATTAAATATTTTAGTAGATGTAAAAATTAATTATTGGTAATTTGGAGAAGAGCAATAATTCTGAATTTTGTAAAATATGTTGCAATTACTTTTCCTTCAGATTTGAACTTTCACCTTAGAATAAATTATTAGAAAATCATGATTTTCTAATGCTTATTTCTCATGTCCAGAAAAGTAAGTGTAAGTGTTTATTTCTCATGTCCCCCAAAAAACAGTGTAAGTTTTTGCTTTTGCTGTTTTGGTCCATCCCACTCTGCATATAAACATGAGAAAAATGTCCTTGATGGAAATTAAGAATTCAGTGTCTTTTCACTTTTACTATTACTGCGATAATTTAGAATCATCAAAGTGAAGACTTGCCTTTGGTTTTTAAGGAGAGATATGGAATAAGGATTAAAAAATTTGTAAGTTCTAAAGTCCTAAAAAAAAAAAAGTCTTACTTACCTGGCTGTTTTCACCACACTTAAAATGACAGCAACAGTAAAGAAACACGAGCTCTAAAGCTCGAACTACAGCTCAGTGGAAGAGCACTCACCCTCATCGCGCATGTGCAAGGCCCTGGGCTTGGTCCTCAGCACCACACACGCGCACACACGTGTACACACAAAAGCACGCAGTAGCTTCAACAAAGATTATAACATTTATGTGCAGTGTCCACATAAGATAATATTTTGTCATAAAATGTCTTGCCTTTAGGAACTTTGTCACTTTTCTCAGGCACTTTCAGTGCTGTGAAGGAAGATTGAGGTTTGAAGTCCTTCACATCCTTCACTTCTTTGCCATCTTTCACTTCTTTGCCATTCTTTATCTCTTTCCCTTGTTCTTTTAATTTGGTATCTATCACTGTTGTTTTGCTTTCAGAGCTGGGCTCCTCTGTCAGCTTAAACTCAGGCAATATTTCTTTTAAGAGCTCCCAAACTTTGTCTGCATATCCTGGGCTTAAAGAAAAGACACCAACATTATTTTCCAAATGATGTGTTTCCAATTCATATCTAGATATTGGCAGAGAAATTGACTTGCTATTTCATGACTTACCTCAATTGATACATAAATTGTAGTTCTAAAACACCATTATACATTCATTCATTCAACATGCTTTTACTGAATGTACACTGTGTGCTGGGCTTCTGCTGGCACAAACAGACTGCAAACATGGGTCTTACTTTAAGGATCGCTCAGTCTGCCAGGGGATGGAGGCACATTAAGACCCTGATAGGATGCTGTGAGAATTCCTTATAGTAGCAGACAAGGCCTATGTCTGTATGGTCCCTTCTTGTCTCAGATCCCCTGGTCCATTCATCCTATAGAATTCAGTAGCACACTGAATTCTAGATCATATAGATCTAGTCATATAGATCCACTGCTTTTCTGGGATTACATGCTGCTCTCTTCCACTTCCTTGCTATTCTTTCTTCTCTAAATTGGTTTCCCACCTCAATCAGCTGCAGTAATTTCAACTAATCCTTTCAAATCACTTTAAATATCGTTTGAGGGGGCAATTGAGGTCTATGTTTCTGCTCTAAATTCTCTAGGAATCTTTTACATACTTAGAGTACAGCCTTTAAAAATACTTTTCAAATTACTCACTCAATATACCCTTAGTGAATAAATATTTCTATGACAGTCGTTCAGTGTCATTGTTCTGAGCCACATAGGGCATAACACTGAGTAAGACAAAAAGGCTCACATACTCCTCTCATTGACTTTAAGCATACAGTAGATGGATACAGTCCAAGAGAGGGAGAATAGAAAAAGCAGTGATAACTTCTGTGATGCAAATGAAACAAGGTGGGATATGGCACCTTGGGAATGAATAATTTTGGTTTGATAGGCAAGAAGGCCTGTGTCACCAGTTGGTGTTTTGGCTGAGTGAGATCTAAATCTTATGACATAGTAAAGTAAATATCTAATGAAAGATCGTTCCAGGACCCCCAAAAAAGAATCCCACAAATAAACAAAAACCAAGTGACTAATGTACAGACCCCCAGTGACAAAGAGTTGCATATATTTGAGGAAAAGAAAGAAGACTGGGGTGGCCAGTGAGTGGGTTGCCAAGATGGAGATGAAGTCAGGGATGTGGCAGAGATTATATAAGGACTTTATTCTTAAAAAACTTTATTCTAGTATAATGATTAATGCTGAAAGGCTTTAAGCAAGGAGAAGAGATCTGATCTGATCTGTATATTTAGAACTATTCTTATGACCATCAGGAAAATTAACTAGAGGGTAGCTGTGACCCAGTGAGGCTACTTGTAAGGCTATTACCAGTGAGCAGTGATGAACTGGGATGCACAGCTGAACTGGGATGGTGATAATGGAAATGTATAAAGACAAATTCAGAGTAAGTGGAAGAGATATGATTATTGACAGGGCTCAGTGAGGGGTTGTAGGTGAGAGGTGAGGAAAATGAGTGATCAAGGATGATTCCTGGTTTTTCCTGTACATTAAGTACACGGTTGTTGGTGGTGCAATGTACTGAGAGGAGGTTTGCTAGGAAAGATGCACATTTGGGAGATTGAGAAACAAAATTCCTTTCTTGATACTTTAAGTTTGAGATAGTTTTTTTTGCATCTACATACCTATGTAATTTAGACATTTGTGTATCAAATAATCTAGATTTCAAGAGGTGAGGATGATGGAGATGGAGATGAATAAAGATTGGGTATGGAGACACAAACACTAATAAGCTAATAGCTTGTTAATTTCAGTTATGGGACAAGGGCTTTATTATACACAATCACTTAGTGGTTGAGAAACTATGTAAGAAATGTGGAAGGGTAGCAAATAAGATAGGATTAAAACCTGGAGACGGTGGTGTTGTGAAAGACAAGGGAATCAAACGTCATAAAAATAAATTTTTCAAGAAGTTCAAATACTGGGATGCTGAGTAAATGGAGCAGAAGTAGTGCGCACCAGTTTCAACATGTTAAGGTCTTTGTTGACTTAAAGAAAAGCCATTTCAGTGGTGTGACAGAGAAGGAAAGGCAGAGTCAGATGATAAGAGATTAGGAGTTATGGTGATAATGACATGTGAGAACATCACTCCTTCACTGTGACTTTCTCTGAGGAAAATAAGTGAAATGAACTGGTGGTCTGAAAACAATAATTAGTTTCCGTGTGCATTTGTGACTTGCTCGAGTGCCTGAACCACTCTTACATCCATTGGACCACATCACACATCAGAGAAGCATGGTGACAGGAGTCATCGCTCTATTGGAAATTGTCAACTTTCTATCATCCACTCTGTCATGTCACTGATTGTGCTTCTATCATCATGTGGAGAATGAAAAGAGATTCCTTTTTGATTTTCCAAGAGGAAAACATAAGTGGTAAGGTCAAGAATTATAAACAGAGCAGTGCCTCCCTTTGGTGTTCATGTGGGAGACCATAAGGGAAGGAGCTAGTTCACTGAGTTCCCAGAAAACACACTTTCAGCCTAACTGATTTTCACATGAAAAAATAATCGGTAAGCAACACAAGCCTGAAATGTCAGTGCATTAATTTTTCTTGACCCTCATAAAACCATGGCTGAACTGACCAAATTTTCTATACATTCTAATTTTCCTAATAATAGAAATATCCCATTTCTGAACATGCCATGGGCTTTTGCTAATATAATTCTCCCCCTTCTGTGCTATCTTGTTCCTTTCCATCAAACCCAGCCAATGTTTCAATGTAAATATTTCTTGACAATCATTCACACAGTTTATTGTGACATCTTTCCCCTTTAAAATATGTGTAACATGGATTAACTGTTACACTTCACAGTATAATTTTAATTTAGTTATTTGAATTTTTTTTCATATGAAAATTCAATAAATCATTACATAGGAGATCAACGTGTGTATATCTTGTGCTTTCTATCTGTATTTAGAAGAACATTATACATTGGTCTGGAACATCTTCTTTATACTTTTCCCTGTTTCCAAAAGTTGATTATTAGCTTCCCTACATATTTCTAGATAATATTAAATTGTCTAGTGAAGGTCATTAGAGATGAAAAATAAACTTTCATTAGTTATTTCTGTATTTTACAGTAATACTAGCCAACTTTTTTTCATGTACTTTACCTTCAGAACCACCATAGAGGATAGATATATTATCCCCTCTTTTTTATAGATGAGGAAACCAACCTTGAAATTGGAAGTGTAAGAATTTAGCCACACAGTTCTCACCCCAAAGCTCAAATTTTTCCTGCATGTCATGTTCAAAACAATTATAATTCATTCACATCAAACATCTGAAATCTTTCAAGTTTTAATCTGCTAATTAATAAAGTGATCTCCTAATAATATGAGACTATATGAACACTTTTCAATGTTCAATTATACTATATGACTCTAGTAAGGGACAATACACATTTTTTAATTATTAATTTTCTTGTTGTAAATTATTCTATTTTCTTTTTCTCTTTCCTCTAGAAGACTTCTAACAATTTCATGTTTGTGGTATCCAAACTGACTACTGTCCAGGAAAATTATTAAGGCAAAACTGCCATCAACACTAAAGTAAAAACTTTAGAGAAGTCCATACTTTTTAATGTCTCCACTTCTCTTGTTAACATTGTCTCCACTATATCAGGATGTTTCTTAGGTATCAGAAAATGGTTTTACATAAGTGACAAAAGGGTGTCATCTTGGCTTTTCCCAGAGAGAAAAACACAAGAGCAGCTCTCCTTAGGTAAGTGATCCTTTGAGGAGGGTGTCTACTGTTCAACTTTTTTCCTTGCAAATATTTTTATATTAGCCAACCCTGCTGGAAAGATGTACTAATGGAAAAATTCAAGTTATTAGAGCCTATCTTCAATCTCCTCCAACCTTAATCAATTTTAAGTAACTATGCCTTGACATCATCAAATATCAGACACCATATAGTTGGTAACTGTATTGTGGATGTTACCACTATAAACATCAGGATCTGAATAATTTCATGATCAGATATATTGCTACAGTTCTTTTCTATGTGCTCTCATCTTATTAGTTTCTGTCAATAGCAGTGCAATCAAGTTGAGTGTCTATAACCTTTTTGTATTAAATAAAACTATTTTTATTTAACTATTTTTGAAGCTTTATGTAAGCACTACATTAAATGGTGTCTCTTTTCTTCATCTAAGAACTGCTTTGGGGGATAGATATGGAATCTCTATACATATAGAATCCTACGAAGGAAAAACTGTGGGTTTGGATAAGCAAAACTTAAATGGGCAAAGCTTTGAAGAATTCTACCTTTCTGAATTTCAGTATCCTTTTTTATAATGATTTATTCCTAAATATTGAGTCACATGAGTTATTATATAATGTAATACTTTTAGGACTTTGTTATTAATTAGAACTAATATAGTTCTAACGCATAATAGATATTAGGATTAATTATTCCCTAATATAGAAAGCTATTTTTATGTTTCTGTATTGAAATTAAGTAGAATAGTTGTGTAAGTATAAATGGAACCCTATAAGAATTTTTTGATAATAAATAATTATCCCAATTTTAATATTTGAAAATCAGATACTTAGTAAGTTCATAAAATATATATATACAGTGTTGGGGATCAGTATATGTCACCCCAAAATATGAAGGATTGTTGAACTTAAGGCATTAAGAAGAAGCGGATAAAGGAGAAAGCTCTCTCCCTTCCCTCTGTTTTCCTAAAAGCAGGACTTAGACTGATAAAAACAAGAGGTATTCTGCCTTACTCACTCCCTCTCCTATGAGGGAGGATAAAGGTAAATGATTGAAGGAAACTGTGGACCTCTTGGACCTGAAGATGGTACCAAAGGAAGTAATTAGAACTAATATAGTTCTAACGCATAATAGATATTAGGATTAATTATTCCCTAATATAGAAAGCTATTTTTATGTTTCTGTATTGAAATTAAGTAGAATAGTTGTGTAAGTATAAATGGAACCCTATAAGAATTTTTTGATAATAAATAATTATCCCAATTTTAATATTTGAATAATAAATAATTATCCCAATTTTAAATATTTGAAAATCAGATACTTAGTAAGTTCATAAAATATATATATACAGGTTGGGCGATCAGTATATGTCACCCCAAAATCTGAGGATTGTTGAACTTAAGGCATTAAGAAAGAAGCGGATAAAGGAGAAAGCTCTCTCCCTTCCCTCTGTTTTCCTAAAAGCAGGACTTAGACTGATAAAAACAAGAGGTATTCTGCCTTACTCACTCCCTCTCCTATGAGGGAGGATAAAGGTAAATGATTGAAGGAAACTGTGGACCTCTTGGACCTGAAGATGGTACCAAAGGAAGCTTCCTAACAAGCCTTGCAAATTAGCTAGTCTCTGGACATTTACATGCCTTCCCACAAGTTGCTATCTGCAGATTCAAAGTCACTTCTCTACAAATTTACTATTCTTCATTGAAAATGCTATATAAACTACAATTCAAAGCCACCTCTTTGAGATCTGCTCGCTCCTTGGTTGCTTCCCATGTAGTATAATGAATTATGCATGGTAATAAGCTTCGGGGTTTTTTCTTGCTAGTCTGTCTTTTGTTATTGGAGTCAGTTTTAACTAAGAATTTATGTGGATAATTATTCTCCTACATAAGAAAGCAGACTTCACTCTAAAATGCCCCTAGAATTTTATATGATGCCACAAAATGTTATTCTCCTGTACATTTTCTAAAACATGACCTTTGTTGAAATTTTCCTAAAGGCTATTTAAAAGAAATCCTTGAAAGAAAAAAAAAATAGAAATGAGCAAGTTAATCTTCAAACCTACTGAAGAGAAATGACTTCCGGTAACCATCCTGTGAGGGCATGAATAACTGTGAACTCTCCCAGTTCTCTTCTCTGTGCTATGTGGATGCTAGAAAAGAAAACACATGACATTGTGGTTACCAAAATCTGGAAAAACGGGGCAATGTGTCAGGACTAGGAATCACTACTAAACAGCAGTGAAATAATCAGCATAGGGTGTCATTTTGGTTGTATATTACAGTACAAGAAAACACTCTGAACAACCAGATGATTCATTTTGTTACAACACTTAAGTTGGTCCAATGATAAAATTTTAAGTGACTAACAAAACATACATATCACCTTTATTTTAAAAAGATCTAAATTAGTATTAATTCTATAGACATGAAATATATATTATACAATGTGTATCATGAATACTATATCTTATTTTTTATATTCAATATGTGATCATTGTTCTTTTGAAAGTAGAGCAGTGTTTTTCACCATTCCAATTTCAGTAATTATTTTGAGGTGACTATAAGGATCTGTGTTAAGTCAGTTTCACCCATGGCTGGTCAAGGTGGGCATCCAAAATCCTTAGCTAACTGCAAAGAAACTAGAAAATATCTGGCCCATCCTGTACAGAAAAGAGGACCTACCAGTATGACATAAAGTTAGAGGCTGTGATTAAACAAATAGCACTGGACTCACTGAGTCTTTTTAGCTCTGTTCTTCCTGAAGTGATTAGTCTACTTGCATGTATTTGCAGAAATGCCATACCTTCTTTCCACCCAGGAATCCTGGTTGTTGTCTACCCTATGTCTGTGGTGGTGTTTATGGGACTAACACTAGTCCTTTCCTCACACAAAAATTACACTTTATTTATAATATGTTTTAATGAATTTATGCTTATCTAAATATTTGTATTGGTTTGTTTGTAGATTTTGAATTTCTTTGTGTCAACATATCTCAAAAATAACATATCTGTTGATATAGTTCATGCTGTAGTCTGAACTTCTTTGGATGATTTAATTCATGAGGCGACCTTGAAATGATGGTCTTATCTTTGCATATTTCATATTGGTATTTAAACAACTACTACATATTAGACTTTTTAAATGTATAAAGCTAAATGAACCTCATATGAAAATTATCATGTACTATAAAATACAAGATACTGTTATAGAAAAATTTAAAATGTATCATATAGGACAGGTTGCCACTAGAAATCTTAAGAAATGTAATATATTTTGCTTGGTATATTTTATTTCCAAGCTAGATTTGTTTATTTTCTTAAATAACTGTAACTCCATTACTCATATTCCTGTTAAATTCTACTGAAATAGAGCTGCAAGAATTCCAGGTCACGATTTGATGCAGCGCTGATTCTCAGAACTTCAAGGTAGGTCTGAGAACTGGGAACATTAGGGAACATTATTCTTGCTATCTTTTCCCCCAAATAAACATAGTCACCACCAGTGTGAACACTTAGTAGCATTTAGCTATCTATAAAGTTCTCATCTAAATTTTTACAAAAGCCACTGAAGTTAAAAAAGCTGAAAGCTGGTTGAAAGAAATTCTCAACAGACATTGAAGAAAAGAGAAAAGAAGGGAGGATGGCAGTATGAGTTGTAGCTTTTGTTTTGTAGCCTTGGGAGACAAAAAGGAAGGTGAGCCAAAGGAGGACCTCGCAGATCAACCCTGGCTCTGATAGGCACTGCCGCGCTGTGTTCATTACTGAAGGGGACAGGTCAGAACTTTGAGGAAGTGGCTGAAGCATGTGGGTGTGCTCTGTTGAACGCGGAGTTGCCATGACACATTGGTGTGAGGGCATGAAATCTAGGCCTGGGCAGTATAATTGAGATTCTCCCAGAGAGAGATGATATGAAATTGCTATGCATTTTCAACTCAAGTGTAAACGTCTGCATTGTGAGTTGTGTTATTATGACCAAGTTGGAATGAATGACTGCTTTTCTATAGAACATAGAAAGTATGCTATATCTTGTATATGTTGAGTGTACAAGTCATTGAGGAAAATAAAGTACAAGCAGCTTTTGCAAGCTTATTTGAAGCAAATACGAGTAGATTTCATCATGAATTATCTAAACTGACAAGTATTATCAAAAGCATGATCATGTTGATGCCGTTCTGAAAAGTTCAGGTTTTTAAAGTTTTGTAAGTGATTGTTGTGTGTACAGAAACTAAAGCTTTAACTCAATTCCAGTACATATTATTCAGTATTTAGATAGATCAATATTTTCCCTTACAAAACAATTTCTACCTCTCATTAAACTGAAACATATTTTCCAAGATCCACTTTCCATTTATAGTAAGAATAATTTTTGAGTATTTTTTTTCTTCAGGGAATTTTGTCTTTTAGTTATTTAACCCAATACTTCAAATCAGTGGTTTTGACATGTTAGTTTTAATACTTGAAAGTTTGTATTGTTTGGAAGAAAAGTTTTCATTTATTTTTTAAAAATAAAGCTATGCAATATGGATGCACAGTTGCTGTTTTTTGCCTTTTTGTTTTCATACAAATGAGTGGTCATTTCTCACTACATACTCAACATTTGCCAGCTTAATGATAGCTTTAGACAACAGCATTGGCCAAAGTTCAAATTCATAGGTTGTAGCCGGAAGCAGCAGATTGTTATCTTCATCAAAAGGAAAAAAGTCATCAATAGTTATCTTTCTCCAACAACCCTAAAAATAAAAAGAAAAGAAGTAATAATCAATAATTTACAGTGTTTTCCTGGATATTATGATATACTGCTAATATTACTTTTTACTATTTTTATAAATTTATCTTAGCATCTTACATTGGAAGACTGAAATTTTTTTTCAGAACTAATCTAGGTAATCATTTTAGCTTATTTAATAAAATTATAGCACATCTATATCTATAGCAATACTGTTCTCATTTTGAGGCCTTGTGAGCACATAAAGCAGTAAATTAAAATGTTTGAATGGCAGAAGCAAATATTATTCAACCATGAATGAGCTTGGCCAAAATTAATTTAATTTATTTAGTCATAATATAAATTCATCAAATATAACTTTTATAACTACTGCTTATTCTGATATATGCTCACTGATCTTGCATTTCTATTTCCCATTGTTATGCCTACTGCTAATTCTGCTAAGCAAAGCTCTAATTTTTTAACATGAGTGAATTGATGTCTTATTTAATAAAACTGTTAGATATTTACCTCTGCCTATTGCTTCAGAATTAAAAACGTGAAACAAATAATAAATGATTGTGAATTCAGATATAAATTTTTTCTTTAGTTTTTACGTACTCAGTTTTATTATGAATTAATAATAAAATGTTTGCCAGCAAATATTTTCAGCAGTGTTGTCAAGCATCGTGAGTTCCCAAATACACATAATGATATCTATTATCATTAATTATTTACAGTCTAGTAGGGAAGGCACATATGCAAATGTAAAGTATAACATATTCTAAGTGCTCTAAGATCAGAAAGGCAAGTATGACTAGTTTAGCTAGGGGAACGTCATCACAAGAAAGTGACATTTGAACTGAAGATTCAAGGGACAGCATATTTTCCCCATGTAGACAGGAACAATAGGGTAAAAAAATATATGTTTTCATTACACGACACTTGCAACCATGAAATCCATATTGTCTTATTTCTATGTATTTTTCTTTCTTTATTGATAGGTAGATTATGTCAGGTAAAACAGGAATAAGTGTGCCACTCCTTTTCTAATTCCAAATGAAGTGACTCAAAAGAATTAACAGAGGAATAAACTAGATACAAGAGGACAAACACTATACTCACCTATTTGAAGGCAAACTTAGAAAGGTAGAAAGAGGTTACTAGGGGCTGAGGGGGAGTTATAATTTAATGAGTACGGAATTTCTGCAAGAGTTGCTGAAAAATTCTGGAAACAGGCAGTGATGATGGTTGCACAACATTGTGAAAATACCTAATGCCCTTGAATTGTATTTTCCAATTGTTGAAACATTAACTATCACATTTTTTATATTTTACCACAACAAAAAATAGCAATAGGAGCTCCTTTCCTACACTTTGGTTTTAAAACCAAATTTTGAAGGAGCCAGTCAGATTCCCACCAAGTAAATGTTTTAAGCAACCACAAGAAGGTAAGCCACACCAGTTCAACAAGAAAACACCTGCTTTCATATGGTCATAGATAACATTTTTCAACTGAAAATGCTTTAGTTACTGAACTGTACATTTTAAATGAGTGATTTTTATGAAATGAGCATTGTGTCTCAAAAACTTGTTACAAAAAAAGAATATACAAGGATGAATATTCAGTATTGAGTGTACTTCTAAAATATAATTTGATGAGACTTATAGCCATTATTTGTGAATCCTTTTGATTCATTGATATTATGCATTATTAATTGTTTCCTTAAAATTTATAAAGAAATTAAATAATTTAAATATTTATACATGCATATATAATTTCTATAGATTGTTAGTTTACTATCAAAACCCATATGTTGAAAAGTTAGAACCCAATATACTGGAATTGGGAGGTGGGGCCTTAGGAAGAGGTTATGTCATAAGAGTGGAACCCTCATGAAAAGGATTTGTGTCCTTAGAAGGAGCTAAAGAGACTTGAGTTCTCCCCTTCTGCCATCCTAAACAGGATAAACTCAAACAAATCCGCAGATAGACATATCAAATTTGAGATGTCAACACAAAAGATAAAAATCTTGAAGGCTGGCAGCAAGAGAAGACACATTTTCTGTAGGGGAAAAACATTATTCTGTAGAAACCATGGAAGGCAGAAGGAAGTGGCACTCTGTTTTCAAATGCTGAAAGAGATTAGGTGTCAACCTAGAATTCTGTAAGTAGAAAAATATCTTTTAGGAATAAGGATGAAATGAACACATTCTCAGATAAAGGAAATAAAAGGCACTTTGTTCTCAGGAGACTGACTCAGGAAGAGGGAAAGGGAATTCTTCAAAAAGAAAAAAATAGAATGAAAGGAAACACAGAAGGTCAGATATAAAGGAAAGAGTAAACAAATGATTCAATGTGGTAGAGTGCTGTTTTCCTCTTGAACTTTAAAAATTGCATTTGAATTTACAAGTAAAATTTATGAGGTTGTGAATATATGTACATATTGATATGTAGATAGATATAGAAAATATTCATCAGAAAGGAAGATGTGTAAAGGATCATAAATGGTGGCAAACTATCTATATTCCACTTAAATATTTACCAAATAAATATTTACCACTTAAGTGAGTGCTAAAATGTGGGTATTAGTGCACTGTTTTGGTAAGTTATGCATGTGTATTGTAATTCCCAGGGTAATCACTGGGGAAAAAATACATAGAGGCATATTTTAAAAAAATTGCACATAGATAAACCACAGTGGAATCCTAAAGAACATTCAAGAATCATGCTGGAAGGCAGGAGAATGCATAAAGATTACAAATTTAATAATAAAAAGTAACAAGAGTAAACGAATAATAAAATGGCAAACTTACATCATAATTATATCAAATATAAATGTTGTATAAACACAAGTTAACATATAAGAGTAACTTGAATACACTTCTTGAAATTAACAACTTGTGTGTTCTTAACAGAATAATTCCATATGTGGAAATCCTATTTAAAAAACTCCACACAAAGATGTTCTTTTACAACCTTGCTTGTCTTGGTAAACAATGATCATAGCCTAAGTTCCTGTCTATAAAAATTTAGCAAAATACCTACATTTATTTATATATTCATATAATGGAGTACAAAATGTATCAAACTATACCAGAATAGGAAATGTGCATGGACAGAAAGGGATAGTTTACAGTGTAATAAGTCTTATTTACCTACACTGTTAGGTAGTCAGTTTACATATGTTCATAAGAATATCGGAAAGTTTAGCTGGAGATACATGACTTGATTGTCTGAATAGGGTATAATTACAGACAACTTTCATTTACTTCCTTGAATATTTTAATAGTATTCAAATTTGTGTTACTAAAAGCATGTATAATAATAAAAATAAAAAATAGCAATTTTTGGAAGATAGTAACTGAATAATATAAATATAGTTTGTCATACCACTGAGAATTTATTTATAAAGCAAGCTTACAGGCTCCAATCACAGAGATGGACTCAGGAGTTCCGAGATAGGGCCTAGGAAACAGTAGTTCATGAAACACCACAGGTGGTTTTGGTGCTGGGTTTTCTGCACCCCACCAGTAAGAAACTGAGTTCTACACTCATATTGTACCTAAAAAGTACAAGGGTAAATGAGAAATAAAAACCTATGCTTTTTTCATGTAAACATATTGATAGAAGTAGAGGAGAATTGTTGGTCCCAGTGTGGTGAGTATGTTTTATCTCTTTATCAGAGACAAACGAAAGCTCAGAGACAGAGAAAGGTTGGTTGCCAAAGTAAACCGTATTTTAAGTGGAGAACAATGGCTAAATTGCTTCTTTCAGGGAGCCAAAGGAAGACTAAAATTGGAAAGTGCTGGACAAAATGTTATGTATCTCTGTGTCATATTATTACTACCTGGTGAAAGAAAAGAGAGAACTGATCTCACTTTTATTACCTTGTTCCTAGCTACTCAGTACATTTTTTTTTTATCTAGCTGATGTCAAAAAAGAATCTTATGCAACTTGCTTAGAATCCAAACTGGAAATAATGGAAATATTCTTATAAAAAATGATATTCTGTGTTAAAAATCAGAATTTTATTTTATTTTATTTATTTATTTTTATTTATTTATTTATTTATTTATTTATTATTTTATTATTCATATGTACATACAAGGCTTGGGTCATTTCTCCCCCCTGCTCCCACCCCCTCCCTTACCACCCACTCCGCCCCCTCCCTCCCCCCCACCCCCTCAATACCCAGCAGAAACTATTTTGCCCTTATTTCTAATTTTGTCGTAGAGAGAGTATAAGCAATAATAGGAAAGAACAAGGGTTTTTGCTGGCTGAGATAAGGATAGCTATACAGGGAGTTGACTCACATTAATTTCCTGTGTGTGTGTTACCTTCTAGGTTAATTCTTTTTAATCTAACCTTTTCTCTAGTTCCAAAAATCGGAATTTTAAATGTCACATGGAGAAGTTCTGAGATGTTGGTGTGCCTTGGAGAAGTGATAAAGGGAAATACTTCAAGGGACCACAGGAAAGAGATAGAAAAGGAAAAGCAATCTAATGAGAAAAAGACAAGAAAGCATCAAAAAATTGAAGAGAGAAAATAGAGACTCAAGGTGTGCAAGACATGAATGGGAAGGAAAAGAAATGGAGGACTTATGATATATCTGTATTGGATCATCTGGAAACAAACAGTAGAAAGGAACAAAGCCTATTTTTATGAGCATGTTATTAAAATATTTAAATAAAATATTTTTATATTAAATATTTAATATAAAACATTAAAATATTTGCAGAATGAAGCAAATAGACATTTCAAACTTTGAACTAGAGCTGTAAGAGAACAGAATTTAAACTGTGTCTGGAAATTGGCAAGAAAGGAGAAAACAATATAGTTTATCTCATCAGAAATAATTTAATTCTTTACTATGTTCTTACACACACAGGTGTTAATTGAGGCCTGCTAACTGGTAATAACTTAGAAAGAAGTAGAAGTTTCTTCCCCCAGACCAAAGAGAACAGATTTCTATCAACCTGAAAACCAGGCAGCCACCTCTCTATCATATGCCAAATAATTCTTACGGAACCAGCTGCCTCTCAATGCCTACCAGTTTGATGACATCCCTATGAGCATTCACTGGGTACGTCCAGTGAAAAACCAGAGGAAGCCACTGAACTTGCGAGTCAGTCTCTGACTGCCACATGCCTGGCACGCTCTTGTGAAGAGCTAAGTTACCTGGAGAAGCACTGGATGACTGCATTAAAGTGAGATTTCCAAAGTGAGCTAAATGAATTTTTCCAGCCTTGTATTCTGATTTGACAAATCTACTTCAGTATGAAAGACACATGCATTTTAATGCTCTAGAGCTTGAACTTACCATCCAGTAAAGTTTCACAACGTATTTTCCATAGCTGTTGAACAACGGCATATGGTCCTTCACAGCCTTACATAGGGAGTATATATGTTCCCAGGGCTTCCAGAAGAGAACAGGAGGTTCTCCTGTATTTCCTTTAAAATAATTGCTCAAAATCCCTCCATTGAATATCTTCCACACTGCATAGATTTCACTGATTATCCATCTCATCAGCTAAAAACAAAAACGGCCAGCATTAATTGGTTATTTTTAAGTTATAGGTAATGTAATTCAGAAAGAATTACAGTAAAAAAATCTATTTCCAATAGTAGTATTAAATTTTACATGCAATGTATTTTATTCCATATTTTTTTCTTTCTTTCTTTCTTTTTGGTGATACTGGGGTTTGAACTCAGGGCCTAACACTTGCCAGGCAAGCCCTCTAATACTTCAGCCACCTCCAGCCATTGACTTTATATTTTGATTTCTGATCCACAGAAAAAATCATAGGTCTTCCCTTTGGTTTTCAAGAAACACAGTCACAATGCAAACTAAAATAATAAACTTTACCTTCAGTTAGCTCTGAGAGAGAGAGAGAGAGAAGAATATGTGTGTGTATGTGTGTGAGAGAAAGAGAGACTGTGAGGTTCTGACGATTTTTTTTGTTTTTGTTTTTGGTGGTTCTGCGGCTTGAACTCAGGGTCTCATGCTTGTTAGGCAGGAGCTCTACCACTACAGCCACTCTACCAGCCCTTTTCTATAATGGGTATTTTTTGAGATAAGGTTTCACAAATTGTTTGCTCTAGCTGGTTTCGAACTGCAATCAGAGTAGCTAGGATTATTTACAGGCACAAGCCACTGGCACCCATCTCTGATGATTTTTTTTGACAGTAGATATTGAGTGTTCTCACCACACAAATCAACAAAATGTGAGATGTTAATTGTCTTGACTGAATATACCACACTGTATAACAAATCATGAAATTTTATACCTTCAATATATCTAATTTCTAATTGTTACCTATACTTCAAAAATACTGGAAGTATTTCAGTATTTCAAAAATACTGGAATACTCAGTTATATCAAAACTTAAATGTGAACAAGATAGAGTGAAACTGGCTGTCTGGGAGTTGCTTGCTCAAGGCTAGGCCTTCCTCAGTGGGCCTGCATTACCTCACTGCAGAATAAATGTTCATTGACTGAAAACAGGTCAAACATGATCTCATTTTTCACAACGACCGGGGTCTGAAATAAAAGACATGAACATAGATATTACTCCATAGAAATATAAAGGAAACATACCTGATGACATATGCCAAACCTGATTTCATTTCTCACCATCAGAGGAATGAGACTAAAGGAGAAATAGGCTCACCATTCCTTCAGTTAATCCTTAGTAAGAACTTTAGGTGACATGAGTTTAACATGTTGCTGACAAAATGGAGTATTTAACATACAAATAAAACATGATACGTAATATATTATATATGTAGATAAACTAAGCAGGCACACACAGAAAGAGAGGGTAAAAAGTGATTTGAAATTTAAATTAACCACTCAAATTAAAACTGAAGCTTCGTTAACATCTGGTAGCCAGAAAAATATCTTCATCTTGGATAAAAAATATTAACTGTGGAAGCTTTTAAAAAATTTTGCCCAACTGTAAATCCTGTCACATTTCAAAATTAATTTTTGGCCATTTATGTAACTGGCATAATAATAATATAAAAATAATAGAGAAATATGACTTGTGACATTTTAAAAAGTGAGCTCCAAATCATATCAGAGCTTATATATTTAACATATCAAATTAACATGCAAGTAGTTTTGATTATAAAATTAGATACTTTTTTGATGGGAGTGAGGTTTGAACTCAGGACTTTGTGCTTGCAAAGCAGGCCCTCTACCACCTGGACCACACCTCCAGTTCATTTTGCTCTGGATGTTCTGGAGATGGGGTCTTGCAAATGTATGTCTGGTCTGGCCTTGAACCGCAATCCTTCCAATTTCGGACTTCCAAATAGCTATGATTATAGGTGTGAGCCACCAGAGCTCAGCTTTTAGAATTAGATTGCTATGGAAGGTAATGTGATCAATTTACCCTCAATCACTTGTACAACTAGTGCCTTAAAAGTCAATAAAAATAATTTTTGTATATTTGAGAAAAGTTTACCTAGAACTATCTTGAAAGCTTGGATTGACTCTTTGGTCATCTGGTTTGACTGGCTCCTGAACTGCCATCAAGAGACAGCAAGTATTAATGTGCATGAAAGTCAGTTAGTGGTGAGTGTGAGATTCCTAAAGTTTGAGGCATTAGACTTAATGTCACAAGCTGACAAAAGAAAAGTAAGAATTGGCTTTGCAAAAGACAACAAATATTAAGGCAGAGTTCTCTTCAATGGCTTTTTGCATCTCTCTTCCCTACACCTTACCTGAATTCATTTTCAAACATTACACAATGTTTAATATAATTGATGCTGAAAGGTCTTGGCCACTAATTTCTAGTGAGCAAAAACAAGATCTGATGAGTCACTCTGATCAGATCTTACCAATACTCTTGGTTGGAATGGTTCATGTTGACACTAAAGCCAGGATTTTAAGATCTTTAATAATTTAGTTTCTATCACAAATCATGTCACTTGATTTTGTCTTTTGTTTAGTGAATTCTGTGATATATTCTAGGTTGAACTCGTATTTTTTTTTTTTTTTTGGTGGTGGTACAGGGGTTTGAACTCAGGGCTTCATGCTTGCTAGGCAGTCATTCTACCACTTGAGCCACCGCACCAGCCTGAACTTGTATTTTTAAACATGGGTTGTGATTATTTAGTAATTCTTGTAATGAGTTTGGTAGGTCAGAACTAGTGAGAGATAGAGATAGAGATAGAGAGAGACAGAGAGAGAGAGAAAGAGAGAGAGACAGAAGATAAAATAGAGTAAAGCTCACATAGGAAGATTATTGCTTTGTGGGAGTTTTGTTTCAAGTTTATGTATGTGCATTTAAATGAGTCTCACTATAGGCCTAGACATTACAGCCTGAAAAATCCTATTCTAGAACTTTCCTCCTTAGCTGCACTTCCAGTTGAGGCTGTTTGGTCCATATTCTAGGATGACAGGTCAAGAAAAGTCCATGCAGAGGGAGGGAAATGGCTGGAGGTGGAGAGCAGCACTATGGCATATGTAGCAGGAGGCGTCTTCAACAACAATGGATACATTCATCTTTAGCATAAACGTATTTCTTAGAATTAACATGCACTAAAAAGAAAGGAAGATGGTTCGTAAAACTTTTCTATTTATTCAATTTTAGTAGTTCCACCTCATGAAATTCATATCCCTTTTTTTTTTGGTATGCAATGTAAACCATGGGCACTTATAGTAAGTAGACTAAGTGTTGATCATAGCATGTCAATATCAAGCACATTGTATTTACAGGCCAGAATTTGTATTTGTTCTTCACATCAGTGTTACATCACATTAAAATTAATTTAAAAACCTGGCTCAAGCATATTTGAATTATTTTATTTAAAAATCTTACAAGAAGGCATTCAAAAATATTCTGATGTGCTGAGAAGGATCTTTTAGTAAATCTTTGAGATTTACTAAATCTAATTTTATCCACTAGTATGATGGATAAATTGTATTTTTTGTGCATTAGTATCAATGCTGATGATAGCTAAAACTTTTAGGAATAAAATCACATTTGTGTGGAAAGAGAGATTCGAAAGAGTCTACAAATGTACAGAACAATAAGCAACATTAAAACCATTTGACTAGTACGAAATAATTTGGCCTACTGCTTTTCTATGTATTAAATGAAAATAATAGGAAATTCAACAAGAGAAGGGCATTAGTGATAATTAAAACCCTGGAAAGAAGAAATATCATAGCTATTAAGGAGTTAGACTAGTGTGTCTAAACTATATGTGTTGTTTAAACTGAGCGTCTCTCAGAGGATGACCCAGTCAGTATGATCCAAGAGGTTGAGCATGGAGTCCAGAAATGAAGGTTGTTTTTGGAAAACACTTCAAGAATCTGTTGATTGGAGAAACCCAAATGCAAACTTCTTGGATTGGAAAATTTATGCTAATAAACACTAGAGAAAACAGATCTCCATTCTACATGAGCTCATGCTGAGAAGCAGAAAGGAGAAAAAAGAGAAAAGCTGTCCATGAGAACTTCAGAATTGATGCTCAACATTTTAGGCTAATAGTTGATATTTTGGAGTGAGGTAGAAAATTCAAGGTTCTAGGCAAAAAGTCAGTGATCTCTTGGAAACCAATACAAGAATTTACTAACCTATACTGAGAAACATTAATCTCTGATTTAAATGCCAAACAAGCAATTATATTGCTTTGTTGTACACCTCAAGAAAAATTAAATCATTTCAAAATCAGCCAGATGTGGTAGTAAGTGTCGATAATTCCAGCTACTCAGGAGGCAGAGTTTGAGGCCAGCCTGGGCAAAAATGTTAGTAGACCCTATCACAACAAGTATGTTGGGAGTGGTGGTGTAGCTCCAAAATCCCTAATTAGGTGGGAAAATTCCAAGAAGGTGGATTGTGATCCGAGACCAGCACCAGGCAAAAATTCTAGACCCTATCTGAAAAAAAAATTTAAAAATATTTTTAAAAAGTTGGCAGGAGCTAGGAGGACTGCCTAGTAAGCATGAGGCCCTGAGTTCAAACCTCAGTACTGAAAAAAATATAGTTTCACAATTGGAAATTTTTACTCACTCTGATATTGTATACCTATAGTTAATAAGTATTTTGTTGAGTAGTATTTCTTACCCGACTGAGCATAAAATCCTGTGGACGTTTCCAAGAATAAATTTTCAATGATTGTGGTAGTTCAATCTTTCCTTCTGGGTCTTCAAAAAAATGCTGTGCAAAAATAAATTGAGCATTTTATTCATATGGTTTTATTAAAACAAAAACACCCCAACCCTAATTAAAAAATAAGTGAATAGGTCTGACTAATAAATAAACATCTATTGAGCAATGTGTATGTGTTTGTTCCCAGAGACACCTCCTGCAGTATTTGGAGAAAACTGAATGTAACAATTCTGTATATTGTTAACAGAACCTTGATTATCCAGTAGCATTTGATTGTAGAGGAAGCAGCCCAAACAAACATGAGCTGCTGTCTGATGCAAACTAGGTCCAGTGCGAGAGCTCTTTTGGATGCATCAGAAATGGCCATATTTTCCACAGAAAACATTTTGTTTTTACATAAGTAGAAAAAATATTTTTTGATTTTCAATTATTGGAATCATAAACAGGATTATAAATATGCTGGACCTTTGACCTGACTTTATCAATTTTTCAACTTAATCTTGTCCTGTTGAGATAACAACTATATGGATTCACATGCAATTGTATGAAGTAGCACAGTCCTGGAGTTCCCCCCACCCAGTTTCTCCAGTGGTAACGTCTTCTAGAACTCTAGTACAGTATCATTGTTGGAACAATGACCTTAACACAATTGAGATCTGGAGCAGTTTAATCTCTACAAGGATCATTCCAATACTACTTAGAGTCACACCTACCCACCCACTTGCCACCCCATACTCTCTTCCCTCACGTCTGACACTCACTGATCTGTTCTCCATTTCTATAATTTTGTCCTTTTCATAATGTAGTATTGGTAGAATATATAGTATGAAACCTTTTTGGATGGGCATAATTCTTCAGAGACTGATCAAAATTTCTGCATGTATCAATAGTTTGTTCTTACCTATAGCTGAGTGATATTTCACAGTGTAAGTATTTGTTTGTTTATGATTTACCCATCGAAGGTCATCAGGGTTCTTTCTAGCTTCTGGCTACTACAACAATGCTGTCATGACGTTTGTGTAGAGTTACAGACTTTCGTGTGAACTTGCTTTTATTCAGCTGGAACAAATACTCAAGAATGCACTTAAGCCATTAATCTTCACACACCCCTATGTGGGTCAATTAGTGAGCTTCGGAGAAAAAATGATATTCAAACATTAACCCTTAAATCCTAGCAATTTAAAATGTTAGAAACACCTCAGGGAGTTACTATGTAAGAGTTCACAGAGCTCAGGAGATACTAGGTAAAAAAGATACCTACAAGAAATAACATGAAAGCAAAAATAAAATGCTTGAAGAATATCAGTGTGGTAAAATTGTGCAATTATATTTCACCTTAATGAAATAATGAGTTAATGAGGACAGAAACAAATAAATACTTTTGTGATTTTCATAGTAATCCTATTTTTACCCTAAGGCTGGTATGACTGAGAAACATAGAGAGGGCATTGAAAGAGCTTTTAACATTGTCAGTACACATGCTTATATCAGAACATGTGATTTGTTGTTACAGTAAAGACACTGCAACAATTTGAATGAAGAAAAGGACACCTCAACATCTTGCTAAAATGTACAATGATTCTTCAAAACACTGAAGTTTCCAGGTGCTATTGCAAACCTAAGTGGTTTCCCCTGTATTGCTTCCTCCCCCTTTCTTACAAATATTAATTAATTTATTTTAAAATGTCCTTTTCTGTTATAAAAATTTAACAAGAAAAAAAGTGTCCCTCTTGACAATTCCAAAATCAAAAATCACATGTGGATCATTTCCTATTATCTGATTTTTTCCCTTGGTTTCTCTTCATGCCTAATAATTTTTTATTGACTGATATAACATTTTTAATGAATATGGGATGCCTTTTTAAATAAATATGAGATTTTTTAAATAAATAAAATGTCTTCTTCCAGAGAGAAAGATTTTATTTCCTTTTGTCAGGCAGAGTATAGGATGACTCCACAATGCTGGGTCCCAGGATTAAGTAGGACTGGTGTAACTTTGGCTTGCCTTACTTCATACAGAATGCTGTGTCTGTTCTGGGGCAAAATGTAAGATTGAACTGCTGATCAAGGTTCCTTCAAACGTTATGTATCCTAAACAATCTCTCCTCACACATGAAACTCTTTCTTAGTTATCAGCCTGCAGGCTTCTGCTTCTCACTCATCATTTGTGTGGCGGCTGCTCTTCACACACATAGCTTAGGAGTTGAAAAAAATGTCTTTTTTTAGACCAAAAATCATATATTCTCACTCATATGCAGACATTAGATCAAGGGCAAACAGAACAAGGAGATTGGACTTTGATCACATGATAAAGTGAGAGCACACAAGGGAGGGGTGAGAATAGGTAAGACACCTAAAAAACTAGATAGCATTTGTTGCTCTCAAAGCAGAGAAACTAAAGCAGATACCTTAAAAGCAACTGAGGCCAATAGGAGAAGGGGACCAGGAACTAGAGAAAAGGTTAGATCAAAAAGAATTAACCTAGAAGGTAACACACACGCACAGGAAATTAATGTGCATCAACTCCCTGTATAGCTATCCTTATCTCAACTAGCAAACACCCTTGATCATTCCTATTATTGTTTATACTCTCTCTTCAACAAAATTAGAGATAAAGGCAAATAGTTTCTGCCGGGTAGCAAGGGGGGGGCAGTAAGGGAGGGGGTGGGGGGAAGGGGGGAGAAATGACCCAAGCATTGTATGCACATATGAATAATAAAAAAATTTTTTTAAATGTCTTTTTTTGGCCATACTGGGGTTTCAACTCAGGGCTTCGTGCTTGCTGGGCAGGTGCTCAGATGCTTTAGCCCCACCTCCAGCACTTTCTGCTCTGTTACTTTTGCTATTGCATCTCACTTTTTGTCCAGGCCTTACTGAACCATGATCCTTCTATTTTCTCACTCCCCACTACATCTGGGATAGCAGACACATGCCACCATGCTCAGCTTTTTTATTGATATGGGGGGGGGGTCTCACAAACATTTTTGCTGAACCGGAACCACAATTCTCCCAATCTCAGCTTCCCATGTAGCTGGGATAACAGGTACGTACCACTGCACCCAACTATTAGGAACTTGTGAACTTTTTGCAAGCTAGGATTACAGACATAAGCCACCTGTGCTTGGCTTGAGCAAATGTCTTGAGATTAAATTAGATGCAAATTGTTCAGATCACTTGTCTGCAGTTACCACTTCTTTGCATTTTGGCTTAAGTCCTGGTCGCTTCAGTAGCCACAGACAATATCCTCTGACTCTCCAGCCCAGAGAAAATGACACAAGGCCCCAGGCCACTACCTTCAGCTTGATCTCTGGTCTTCAGGCCCTGAATTAATAACTCTCCTTGAGGAAAAAATCAGAGGTGAACATGAAGCTCTCCTTGTCATGATTCTCTTTTTTCCAGGATCTGAGCCTCTTGCATTAAGAAGTTAATGATGATCTTCCATGTCATTTCACTTGAGAGAGATTCCTTACATCTACTGTACAGTACTACGTTATATGCTTTTAAGTTTGGTTCACCTGCCACATACATTAGTTGGCATTTAGCTGGAAAAGTGAGACCTGCCTCTGTACTTAGAGGGAAGGGTTGACTCATCTGAGGCTGGTTTCCTGGTGAGTACCTCATATCTAGGCAAGTGGCCATCTGAAAATCTCCAAGGATACCTGCCATCATTGGATGCTTAAGGCAATTCATTCTGGTAAATATGGATGTTGAAATCAGGGCTAAGAGCTATGGCGCCACCATCCCACAGAGAGGCAACACAAAGCTTAGACACTGTGTACCACTCAGTACAGAACTGCCTCCTGAGCCATCAATACTGAGGCCATGGAACAAAACTGAGGATGAGGAGCAAAGTCCTATTCCAGATTTGACCACTTTGCACTGTAGTTTGAGCTGGTGGTGTCCTATGCTTGAAAGCTGCAGTGATAGGATGGAATTTTGGCTAAGAACCTGAAGTGTCATACTCTGTTGTGTAGCTCCTGTCCACAACATAAAGTGAGCCAATACTTCCTTAACTATGCAGTTATAAAGCACTGTAGTATCTACTTTGGGGTCTTATGCTCAGCCAGTCTGGTTAGTATATGCTGCCCCAAACTGAAAGGGACATTATGTGACTACAGGCTTGCTAATGCTCCAATTAAGTACACATTTTCCCCAATACATATTCTTCTAACAGACTTGTCCTTGCTTTAACAACACTGATAAGTCCGAGAACTGGATACCCAATCTTCCAGAGACCTGTCAGATTTCTTATAGTCACTGATAAAGATACTCCAAGCTCCCTAGAAAGCTATTGTTATATACTATATCAAAGTTTTTCAAGCAGTTCCTTCCTTCCTCTCCCTGTTGTTTCTTCACATCTTGGTATGACTCATATTTAGGTCTTTTCCACAGCTCATTTATTCAACTGTGGGTTAAACAACCTAACCTTCCTATCTGAATTCTGAAAGTTACAAATAAGACAACAGAGACACACACCTATACATAAATTCAAACACAGTTCCTAAAACTTTTGAACTGCTGCTAAAATACGTAGAGTATTCCCATTTCATTTGAACACACAGAGTTCAAAGACCCATTGTATCTAAAAGTTCCACAATTACTGTAGGTATGGTAGAGAGAATTGTATTCTCTCACACATTGCTATTTTGGAAATTATTCTTCAAATGCTAACAGAGTCAGTAACTAGTTGCCTTATTAAATATCTTTGGGGAGCAAAGCTATGAGTCATTCAGTTTGTGATTTTGTATGGTATAAACATAATTTAAATGCTATTATTTACTATTTTAAAATGCTTCGTGAAAATAAAGAATTCATAGTTCAAACTAACCATCCTGACAATATATTTTATTTTTTTAAAAATTACATTATGGTCTAAGAGTTTTTAAAAATTTCTACACCAAATAAATAAGTCATATTTTAGACACAATCCAGACCTGTAGCCTCAACAAAGTCTAAAAATAGAATAAACATTTTTAAATAGGCAAAAGAAGCTAAAATAATTTAATTTAAAAATAGACAAACTCCATGTAGCTCCAGTTTTGAAGACACATCATGTTTATGTAACCAAAAGTAAACAAAGAAGAACTCGGATCTTTATCAGTGTATCTTGAGGGAATTAAGAGGGATCCAGTTCTTATCTCTGTAATAGCTCTTTAGAATCATGCTTTGGACTGGGGTGTAGCTCAGTGGTACAGTGTTTGCCTGGCACATGGGAGACCTTGGGTTCATTCCCACTGCATACATATCTGGCAGCACTGAGGTTTGAACTCAGGACCTCACACTTGCTAAGCAGGTGCTCTTACTGCTTGAACTACTCTGACAGCCCCTATTATGGCAAAAATAAATGAGCAAGAAATAAACAAAACAAAAAAATAACAAAGTCATCTTTTCTGTACTGTCCAAGTAACAACTCAAAAATGCACTGTGGACTCGGATTCTAAAGTACTCTCTAAATACCTGGTTTCCAGCTCTGTCCAAAATCTGTTGCCTCTTAATTTTCCCTTTATTTCATTAGCACTCATTGTATACTTCCTTCCTCCCATTTACCCAACCGTAATCCACCAGAACTCTAGGGTTTGTAAAGACAAGGCAGTGATTGGGGAGGCTAAGTAGACAAAGACGGAATTCCCATTTGGAATATAGATCAAAGAAAAGAAGATGAGTACAGTCTCTTGTTAACAAATGATTCCCCTCCCCTCCCCCCATTATGAAATAAAAACCCAAATGAGATCTAGTCACAGTCAAGTTTACTTACTAACACAGGACTTTTGCCTGCTTTGTCTTTTTCTTTCCCGCCTTTGCCTGAGTCCCACTTCTCTGCATTGATGTCAGCTTCACTCCACTCTGGCCAGATTGGGAATTTCCCCTTCTTTTGTTCAGCAGAACCAGATGGTACATTACTGCCAAAAGGGTACAGACGCAAGACAGTGAGTGAAGGATACCTTTGTTTAAATGTCTGAGATAAAATATTAGATTAATTGCATGACATAAATTTAATTATCTTGTCAGTAGAGTATCTTAAACACATTTGTCAATCAGACATCATCCACGTGTGAGGGTTCTGAAGACCGAAGCCACCCCAAAGAGATCATTCTAGAAGCAAACTTTGAGCATTGGTCTCTACTTACTAATACAAGTCACTAAAAAATTGATACAAAGGGAGTTTATCTGTTACCATAAACATGAGATAATCTGAATATAATTCACATTTATGAAATGTACTATACATTTAAAATAGTAACAGCTTTTAGAATATCAGTACAAAAATAATGTTGATTTTTTTTCCAAGGGTAAAAGTACCAAGTGATCATTATTTCAAAAGAAAACTGTAAAACAGAAATCAGATACATAAGAATATCCACCCCACTCTAGATACCATCCTCCTAACAATGATCTATCTTCTCAGACCAATATGCAGGATTTATTTTTCATTCAAAACCAAAATCATTCTGCACATTTTTTATACACTGCTTTTTGCTACTTTTCAGTATATTGTTATATATTATCCATGTCCATAAAGTGCTTATCTAAGTATTATTTTACTGATTCCATAGCATTCTGGTACTATCATAGTATTATATAATATACCACATTTCATTTAATTGAGCTTCCATAATTTGGAAAGTTGAGCGTTTTGATTTTTAAGTTTTCCACTTTTATAAACAAAACAATGGTGACTATCCTTGTATGCTAAATCTTTGCTTATATTCTCAATGAATTCCTTTGGTTGAATTTTATTTAAAAAGTTGTCTTATCTATCAAATACATTTTGACCAGTATTCTACAGAAAAACGGACTTGCTTTTTACACTTGCCAATTATTTATTATAGTTATCATATCTATAAACCCTGAATATTAGTTTTTGTTCATTTTTATTAATTTAAATCTGAAGTAAGCATCTTGTTTAATTACTCAAGTTTTTAAAGTACTCTCAAGGGCTAGAACATTTCTCCAGCATGTGGAAGGAAAAGAAAAACAAAATTTCTACTCTTATAGAGTGTATATTCTAGTAGGTTCTAGATATGAAATATGCAGCACAAATTATGTATAATATAAAGTATAAGGTGAAAAATGCTAGAGGAAATATAAAAGAGAAGGGAATTAAAGAGTTCAGGTATGCATTTTTTAAATAGAAGTAAGAGAAAGTGTCTATAATAAGGTAATATTTAAGTAAATAGCTAATGAAAGATAAGGATCAAGCTGTGTGTATGTCCAAGAGAAGACTTTTCCAAATGAAGGATTCAGCAAGAATAAACATTAAGGAAGAGTGAGTATTCAAGATGAAAAGATCATGTTGGCTTATTTTAGGAACAATATGGAGGTTGGTGTGGCTGATGCTGGGTGAGTAGAAAGGACAATAAGGGGAGGAAGATGACTTCAGAGAATGAAATGAGATGTGAAAATTATAAATAGGATCTAAGCTAAGGGAAGGACATTGGTCTTTAGTTTGAGCAAGACTGGAGGTGGAGGGAGGATTTGAGTGGAGGCAGGGGAGGACTTTCCTGAGTACCATGTCTGTTACAGAATGCTTCTTCTCTGTATTCTTTCATAGTCTTCATTTTTATAGCATTTGCAGCTCTCACTAATCCTTTATGTATACACTGTGTATCTCCATAGGTAGGATTTGTGAGTTCCACAGTGGTAGGAACACTGGATTTTTCATTCAGGCTTTCTCTATACTTAGATGGACTTTTTTTGGTTGTCATTGTTGTTCATCTTTTGCAAGAGAATAAAATTCCTGGAAAGCCATACTGTTATCTAAGGTTGGCATACTCTATGTCTTTTTGTGTGCTCAAGGTCTTTTCCTACATATGTCAAAACAAATTATTCCAGTTCTGTAACACTGATAATACTTCCATCAGAAGACAATCTGATCTTCAATTCCTCCTCATTTCTTGGTCTTAAGGATTCCCATACTTTATACAGGTATTTCTAGGCATTATTTTTTTTTAACAAAAATCTCAATCTACTATCTTGCTGGAAAAGAAAATCTGAGGATACATACATTGCAAGTAGCATGGAAGAATATAGAAGAGGTAAGGATGAATAAAACTTTTCAGGAAAAATAGAAAAAATTCATATTTTAAACAGAAAAAACCAAGGCATAGAATAACATATCATAATATCTACTTTACTGAGTTAAAGCCTACAGACAAAAAAGAAATCAGTGATTTTGTATCCATACAAAACCATGATAAAATTACTTCACTCAGGAAACTTAAAATCTTAAACCTAACTTTTAAAAGAAAGATGTCACTTTTAATAAAAAAAGGCTCAGTACTAAGATTTGCATCCTTCTTTATTCTATCAGGCATAAGTGATATGTTAGCTCTCTCACTTAAGCTGTTTTAAGCTTTATCAGTAACTGGCCTACTTTCCTTGGAACACATCAAATTTGTTTCCATTTACATTGAATATCACCTTTGAAAACTCTCATTAGAGATGTCATAATAGCCCAATAGAGTTCTTTGGGTGTTAGGCACACAATAAACAACATTCAAGGGCAGTCCATGGTCAGATGTACTGCAACTTCAAGTGACCATGGAAAACGTTGATTTTGAAACCCTGAGCACACTAAGTAAGCTTTTGAAGTCCACTGGCAGGATTTACCTACTGCTCCAGCAGAGTTGGGAGTTTTTGGGTGTTTAAACCATGTCATGCCTGATCTCATCAATTCTGAGAAGAAGATAATTTTTAAACATAAAAACTAATAAAAGAACATTTAGGAACAGGTAATAGTGGGAAATAAATATTGCCAAAGTTTTGAAAATTCTAACCTGCAACACTGAAAAGTCAGTTATTCAAAGAGTCAGTTTATTCATTTATCAATATACCTTAACTACTAGTACATGATTCAATTCACTCAAATTATCAGAAAAGATATTGAAGAAAAATATAATATAAATTGTGGAAATAATTATTATTTTTAAAACTTATTAAAAGTCAGTGGGGGAGCATTCAAATGATAAAATCTTTATATTCCAAATTCTCAGTATGGGATATTCTAAAAGAAACCAATGTTTGGAGGAGGAAAAAAATTTTAGCCATCAAAGCACAAGGCTGGTTCCCAAAGAAGAAATTACAAAATATGAGGATGCTCTTGGAGAAAAGAGAGTATGCATAACAGAAAAAAGTAATTATAACTTAAAACCATTGATAAAGATCAGAAGACTAATTACAGAAAGAACCTATAGTGGTGGGGGACTGAAATAGAGGATTGCACAAGTAGACACTGAGAAATGGACTCAAATAGTATAAGCTTGAAAGTCTACAAGCCGATCCTGGGAAAGGAGCTATAATTACTCTGCAAATGCCAGGACCAGACAAAGGATTCATGAAGGAACAAATGAATAGTATGTTCATAAGATCCAAGATTTGAAATAATACTGGCACAGCTCCCACAATAGTTTAGGGTGCAAGAGGAAATGGGGCCACTTTTTTTCCTGTGATTCTATGAGGAAACACACTGGCCAAAAGAGAAAAACTGGAGGTGGGGCAACCCTGTGTCACCACAGTTGTGGCATCAGGGATAGCACTTCCCATATGGCATAAAATCCTATCCACTTCCAACATTAAGACTCGGGAGGGGCAGAGGTAACATAAAACTTCAAAAAAAATTATGGCAAATACACCCAGTAATCAGAAAGAACACTGTTCTTCTGTTGGAACAGAGGGCTTAGAGGGCCTTTTTGATCCCTTAACTATTCAGTAGCTGAACTGTGGCTAGGTTCTGGAGTTTCCAGCTAAGGGCCATAGTTCAGTAGTAGAGAAACATTCTTTAGTGAGCTGCAAAAAGCAGGTGTTTGCCATCCCATTAGGAAGTATTTCAGTAGTGTAACAATTACCCAATACCTTCCAGGAGTGCACACCAACAGCATTTCATCAATGGATTGGCTGCTGATCCTCCTGGAAGGCCATTCAAACTCCATGGGAGAGAATAGTTACATAATTTGAAATTTTCTATAGAAGACAAATTAAAATTATGAAGCAAAAAGAAGAAGCTTAAAACTATGCAGAACAGTCAGTATCTTAAAAAAATCACACCCAAGGAAAGAAACATAAGGTGCCAAACATAAAAGACTTTATGATTTAGAATTGTCAAAAAGACTAAGGAGAGGCAGTTTCTACTTTGCAATGAGATAGGAAAATATTAAGCAAAAAAGTTAGAAATGAAAAAAGGCATTTTGAAAAATTTCTATAGCAAAAGTTCAGGTGTTAAAATACTCTATAAAATGACACAATGAGTAGACAAACTACAGCTAAAGAGCAAAAAATACTCATAGTTAGAAGGTAGACTTTTTAAAAAATCTAGTATTTGCATAAAAAGATGAAATGTATAAAGTGGCTAGATTGAAAAAATCCAGCATGTGTGTGATAGAATTCCAGAAAGACAAAATAGGTAGAATGTGGGGATGTAGGACATTTGAAGAAAGGACCACTGGAATACATTTAGAATTTACAAAAGGTGTGTCTTCAGGAAACTAGTGAGGTGGTGCACATCTGTGATTCCAGCTGTTTGGTGGGAAGAGATGGGAGGATTGTGGTCCAAGACTGGCAGGGAAAAAAGAGTGAGAGCCCATCTGAAAAACAAATTAAAGCAAAAGGATTGGGATTGTGACTCAAGAGGAAGACAACCTTCTACGTAGCAAGCTTGAGGCCCTGAGTTCAAGCCCCAACACAGCAAAAAAAAAAAAGTGTCTCCTAAAAAATTAGCTAGCATTTGTTGCCCTTAACGCAGAGAAACTAAAGCAGATAACTTAAAAGCAACTGAGACCAATAGGAAAAGGGGACCAGGAACTAGAGAAAAGGTGAGATCAAAAAGAATTAACCTAGAAGGTAGCACACACACACAGGAAATTAATGTGAGTCAACTCCCTGTATAGCTATCCTTATCTCAACCAGCAAAAACCCTTGTTCC